ATAAATTGGGAAAGGTCAGGAAGAAATATTTTAAAAGTATAAAAGCTGCAGGAAAATCAGAAACCCTGTATAGAAATATGTTCCCTCTGAATCCAGAGTTCCTTTTCACTCCCACATGGCACTGCCACATGAAAGCCACATTTTGTGATATAAATCTTTCCCACTCAGAATGTTATTTGCCCCCGTATTAGGAAAACAGGTAAGAATTGGTATATTTTCCTTACTGGAGTAAGTAAAGCTATTTCAGGAGAACACATACATCCGTAAAATAGTGCTTAGCTCCAGAATCCCCATTCAATCCAGAGCCTCCTGTGGTTGGTGTTAAAAGAAATGTAAAGAGAGGAGTGATCAGATAACAGATCTTCAGTATCTCCTTGACTTTGGCCCTTAGCTATGTTATCACAAAGGAACAGGTAGCAGAGTTCTTAGGGGAACTAATAAGACTTTAGAGTTGGAATTCTAAGGTCCTTCAGCTACTTTTGTTCAATTAAGCCACATGAGTATTGCCTAAAGTACATGGACATTAGAATAACATCTTGATGCAAAGTGGCTGAACAACAACCTATCTAGCCACAGACAAAGAGTGCACTGCTTTCAGAATGTGATAAATTTGCATAATAATGTCAGGAAAAAATTGTGCAAAAAACATAGTGGAGTGACTGACAGTAATGATATGTTATTAAGGGGGATGGGGTATCAAAGTCTGCAAATGAGTATTAAGAGTGAAATAAAGTTGAAGAGCAAAAACTACCTGAAATAATCAAAATGGCATCATTGCAATGGTCTTGGAGTGCATATCAAAAATCCTGCTATTAATGAAGAATGAAAAGGCTAACCACAAACTGTTTTAATAGATATGTCTGATTCACAAGGCCTCATTCTTGTTTGTTTTGCAGCAAGGGAGGCCATCTCTGGAGAATAAATGCATGACATCATTAGTGTCTCCATGGTGACAAAGCATTGGCATAAACAGTAAGTGTTATGATTTCACAGTTGGATTAAAGAGGGAAAAGAAAATTAGTGTAAAGCCCAAGGAACGCTTTTACCTCAACATCACTTATGGGAATACAGAAAATGGCAGAGAGAAATTTGCTTTCTGCTTAAATGTTATTTTCCAGTTTGCCCCAGTGTGAAGGGCCCTTTTTAAGACATATACTTTCCATAATGATGCCTCTCTTGTTTGAATATTCAGAATACTAATGATGAAGCTAATCAATCTTTGGTGTACTTTAACACCATTCTTAGGAAAAGTTTTATAGCAAGAAGTGAATTGACAGGCCAAGTCTAGGGTCCAGATATAGTCACCACTTCAACACATGGGCTATCACCAGTGCAGGAACAACAAAGACAAATGTATTTTAAAAGCAGTAGGAACAGAATATAAGACAGCAACATCAGCATCTGTTTCTAGCTCAGTTTAGTTATCCTACACTACAACACCATGTTACTTACCCCACATTATTCATGCACTGAAGACACAACCAACATGTGACTATGATAGGAGAACAAAGATGACAACACAGAAACCATCCTGTGCCTTCTCCCACATAAATTCCATAAGCAGAATGTCAGCAAGAGCCTACAGCACTTCCCTCTATGTTTTTCCCTCGGATGGTTGTGGCTCCGCCCCCAGCATGCCCGGCTTGGTCGCATCACTTCCAGGTGACGAGGTTGCGGCGTGTGCACGCTCCAGGAACAAGACGGGAGCCCCCCGCTCCAGCAGCAGGTAAGACTTGGCAACCCTAGATTTCCCTTGCTGGAAATAATATGTCCCTAATACTATGCCATGATTGGCTGATAGTTACTCAGTACACTGCCTTCCAATATGTGGTAGGGGACTGTGTGGTTTTCCACTGACTCCAGTGGTAGCATTTTTACTTGTGGTGAGTCGGTGACCATTTTGTAGACATCATGTTGTACCACTACAGGTGGTGAAAGAAAAGGAGATCAACTAATATCTGCACCTCCCTCACCACCACCTATAGTGCTGTCATTTTCTCCTGTTTGCTGGCAGTTTCCCAGTAAGGGGATTTTGCCAATGCAGCCTATCCTGGCATCACAATAATGCTATCATACATTCAATACACAAACTTACCCTTGTATTCTTCTAGCACAAGGGGGTTTGGTCACAATCCAATCCCACCCAGCTGATATAATTCAAGTATGACATCAGTCTGTGTTGATAGATTCAGGTGGGTAGCCGTGTTGGTCTGAAGCAACAGAACAAAGTTTGAGTCCACTGGCACCTTTAAGACCAACAAAGTTTTATTCTTTGTATAAGCTTTTGTGTGCATACCCAGAAATAAACTTTTTTGGTCTTAAAGTTGCCACTGGACTCAAACTTTGTTCTATCAATCTGTGTTATTACACACACACCCTTCTAGTCCCCTGCTTCTCATGAGGGAGGAATTCTTGAATTTACTAACCAGAAACCAAGTTTCATTCAGGTCTGATCAATTATAATCCAGTATAAAGCTGTCAGTCCTGCCCTTTGGAGCCTGGTTTTATTAGATTCAGGTTGGGTAACTGTGTTGGTCGAAGCAGCAGAACAAAGTTTGAGCCCAGTAGCACCTTGAAGACCAACAAAGTTTTATTCATGGTTTAAGCTTTCATGTGCAAGCACACATCGAAGTGGTCTGAAGCAGCAGAACAAAGTGTGAGTCCAGTGGCACCTTTAAGACCAACAAAGTTAATTCTTGCACATGAAAGCTTATACCATGAATAAAACTTTGTTGGTCTTAAAGGTGCCACTGGACTCACACTTTGTTCTGGTTTTATTAGAATCCCTCCAGTAGAATCCCACACACTGTGTTTAAACATCTACAGCTGCAACATGAAATGAAGTGCCTGGCAAATTGGACTGATGCGAAATACAGTAAAGCAACACTATATTTCAAAACAATTTAATAATCATGTGATCTCTTTTATATATGTATATCATTTTTATGTGTACAAACTCCAATCTCAGTTAATGCAATCACATCAAGGCAGATATTTTATTTACACTTCTATAAATCCATGGAAACAAATTGAGTTAAAGGTTCATAGCCATTCCTATTCCATTTTTAGTGAGACAAAGAGACAATAAAGAAAAATATGTTTTAACACAGCTCAGTAAGACAATAAATTATAAATCATTATGATAACTACTACAACCCAACTGCTACCACCCATACAATATTATAATGACAATCTTAACAACTATATTACCGGGGTCTCTGCCACACGGCAGGGAAAACAAAGGCCAAAGTGCGGCAAATCAGAGCCGCACCAAAGTAGAGACGCCGCGGTGGGATCCCACGGATCCCCTGAGCCGCGGCGCTGTTGCTCCCCGGCACGATCAGCACAGAGTTCGAAACTAAGAGTTCTTTCACGGCCCTGAAAGCGGCGGCCTGCCGGGGGCCCCACACCCACGGGGCTTGCTTGTCCAACAAGCGGTGGAGGGGTTCTGCTACCGCTGCCTTGTGGGGTAGGAAGGCGTGGTAAAAGTTCAGGATGCCAAGGAAGGCCTGCAGCTCCGCCTTGGACTTGGGCGGCGGCGCCTCCACGATTGCCTTGACCTTTTCGCGCGTTGGGTGGAGGCCCTCCCCGTCCACCGTGAAGCCCAAGAAGTCCACCGACGGAACCCCCAGGCGGCACTTGTCCAGCTTGACCTTCAGCCCGGCGTCCTGGAAACGGCCGAGCACGGTGCGGAGGCGGGCGGCGAAGTCCGCGGGCGTGGCGGCGGCGATCAAAACATCGTCGAAGAAGGGCGTGACCCCGGGGATCCCTTTAAGAAGAGAGTCCATCAACTGTTGGAACAGGCCCAGCGCCACGCTAACTCCGAAACTCAAGCGCTTAACACGGAATGCCCCCCGGTGCGTGACAATCGTTTGCGCATCTGCGGTTGCCTC